TTGCAGATCACACTCATTGCAGCTGTAATTTCCGGTCCAACTTGACGGTTGAGATACGGAAGGTCATGCATGTTTTCTACCATGACAGCATCCTGTGGTTTRAAGTAAAGATACACAAAGGGCRGCAAACTTTGGGAAAGTCTAGGTTGGGTCAATCCTGTGGCAGTAGTCAGGTAACTATAAAAGATTGCTTAGTTTCTTTCACCATGGTATATCCTGGGATAAATTCATGATCTCAGTGCAGTGTAGGCAAGTAAAGTTGCTTGTTGGTTGTCTATGGTTTCTCAAAAGAAGATCCCTTTGTGACTGTGGGAAAAGAAACCCTATGCACAGAAGAATTGAATCACAAAAGGTCCATAAAAAGGTCCAACAACTTTACTCATAGGATTCAATTTGACACATAGAATTTGAAGTTGGGGCTTTCATGACACCACAGGCTGAGGTACGGCATTTTATATGAGTGCACTACTACTTCTACTTGTCATTAATCATCATACTCACCAGCCCTGCCTTCTTGTAGATCAGTGCTTCATGTTTGGCTTTATCAACTATCTCAGTCATGGGTAATTTATTCATTGGTGTTCCTAAAATATATTGTTCAAGAAATCCTTCTCTTAGTCAAAAAATGAAATACTGCCATATTTCAAGTAAACATCAATAGCRTAAATCACTGTCTGTCAGGTATATTGGATTATATAGAGGTTATTACACTGCTAGTTGTGTATATTACAGCCRGATATTTTTACGAGTGAAAGACCACTGATGTGAGCCACACAAAGGAATTGGAGGAAATTTCCTCGCRCTGACATCTGCAAAAAAACCTGTTTAARACCCGTTCACAGACYGTGTATTATTGCTCTGTAATTGAGTAATAAGAAAATAGTGGACCTTAACTTTTCTACATTATAATGATGAAGCTTAAATGTAATTTAGGCAAGGTTAAAACCGAGACAATGCTGGCCAGAAGAGTATAGGTAAGTATTTTCCACTGAATTTCAGTGTGACAGGTGCCAGGGGGTAGACTCTGACATTGTTGCCATGGTTACCTATCTTACCAGGCAAGGCATCAACATGAATCATTCCAATGATAGCAGCAGACTGTCTACTAAACAGGGAAGTAAACTTGGGCACCAAACGTGAAGCTACCATATTTTTCTGTGGTGTAACCAAAAGGTCTTGGCAGATATCTTTACAATGTTCTATCTCAGACACTTGTGTGTATTTTATGCGGTGTTATCATCATGATCTGAGGATAGTTTACTGACATAAATCCTTTATCTTGGAAGTCTAGAAGTTAAAAAAAACATATATGCAGAAATAATAAAACAGATTTAAGGCATCRTATACACCTAATGGAAAAACGCCACAACTTATTTGAATAACTATTGTTCTGGACTGACTAGTGACTCTTACATGTAAAAGCAGTTTTGTGCTTCCACGTGAACACGAGGCTAGTCCGTCCAGAACAATTACAGTTATTGGTATAAAGGTGTCAAAATATGCAGAACTGGAGAAATATCATTGAATTTAGAAGTGATAAATTGTATGGTAAAATGCGCTGACTGTCAAGAGCTTGCATTTATRGCCAACACTTTTTTCCATACAAATGCTTGATAAAATATTTGATTTATATTAATGCCATTTCTGCTATAGTAAACATTATGAGCTGAAACTTCGCCTACTAATATCGAGGTGATCTTTTCATTTTGATTCTTTTTAATCCCGAGTACTCCTCTATCTTCTGGGAGCCAAGCTTTGATTGGGAATAAATTGTGACCTGCCCTCCATGCCCACTAGAATCACAAAGAATAATAGTCTAGCCTTGGTATTTCGAAAACTATCCACAAAGCATCAGGCGTACTTTTATATTTGATTGATACCAGGTCACTAAAATAAGAAATCAAATTTCCAGATCATTCTTTACTTACATCAGTAGCAGTAGATTAAACGAAAGCACGAAAATCATCCGCCATGATTGTTCGACTGCGTTACTGGAGTCAGCGGCTAAACTGTCAAATTGGGTAGGCACTTCATGTAATTAATCTAGTATTGTCTACGGGACCTCCACACGAGAGGAAAGTCCCGCCTACATGGGAACCATAATCTCGAGGCCACTTTTCGTGTATCTTCTGCGCAACCTAGCTTAGGCACTTCAGTATGCAGTAAAATAGGTGTTCCTTTGTCATAAGACAAGATTGCACCTGCATGCGAGCCTTCCCCTTCCCATTTGGACAACTCAATTTTCCATTTCTAGCGACAAAAAAGTAAATTTCATTTTCAGGTCATCAAATTCTATTCATTCCTTTTGATTCTATAAAAGGAATTGAAAATAGGGCAGCCTTGAATTGAAATATAATAAAAAGGGAATTTTTAGGAGGAATACATTATCTTTGATTGTTGATATTGATGATTTAAAACAACGACAAAAAAAAACAAAACAAAACAAAAAAAACAACAACAACAACAACAAAGGAAGAGAAGGAGGAGAGTACATGGAAGAGGAGAGAGAAGGATGAATAACAAACCCACATCCATAAGACAGTGATCGTGACAGGGGCATAGCCTGCCCCCTTGCCCCATCCTCACACTGTATAAACCTAAATATCTAAGTAGTCATGTGACAAATTCACGTGTCTTACCGATGTTTGGGCCACCYAAGGCAAAACTCTGGCTACGCCCCTGAGTAACAGTAGTCTAAAATATTCAGTCTAATAATTTACCCAAAGTCTAAGTCTAAACCTAAATTCAAAATCTAAAATAAATTTAATCTATTAAGCTTTGGCTAGCACGGTTGTATCATAGCRKGGTGAAAGCCCAAAGATCGAATTAGAATTAAGAAGTTAATTTTTGAGAAAGGAAGAAAATYGATCRAACCTGAAGAAAAACCTTTTAAACACAGGGTAGAATCAACGAACAGGTCTACACATACGACATAGACTGAGTCTCATGGGATTCAACCCAGAGTGCATTAGTTAGAGACCACGTGTTAGATGCACACACCCTGGCAAGGAAGTAGTGCTGGTGGTGGTGGTTGTAGCAGTCAATGTAAGAGTAGCAGAGGAGGAATGTCAGTAGTAAAGGCAGTAGTAGTGATGGTGGTGGTGGATGTAGCAGTCATCCTAAAAGCAGCAGTAACATGAGTTGGAATGGTGGTTGTACAAGAGACCATGAACCTTCATGTTCTTTCCTAGTAGTGGTAACAGTATTGGGAAGCACGGGTGGTGTGCACCTACAGCTGCCTCTCTGCCCCTCACTAATGCGACACTGCACGTGGTGTGTGCTTCAAGGGTTTTTCTTCAGGTTCACTTGGTTTTCTTCCCTCCACAAAATAATAATAAAAATATAAATATAACAACAACAACAACATCAACATGATCCCCACTATATTCAAATATATGAAAAAAAATGTGGTAACAAAAATATATAAAAATTAGTATGAAGATAATAATAAGGTCTACTGTTAAATATATTTTTTGAGAAAACCATTAATGAGCTGTTATTGTCCAATGCTTTCAAAATGTGGAAAATATGATAACTATACAATTTTCTGGAGGTGGATCAGACCATTTTTAAACCTCTAGAAAACTTGCTCCTTCAATTACCCTGGGCTCCAAAGGTTTGTGAATTTTATGAATCTTGTGCCGAAGGAGCAAGGGAGTGAAAGGAACCTCAAGTTATTTCTTCTTGCGACTTCCCTTCAAAACAGCAAATGCGGGAGTGAGAGTAGTTACCTTTGGACCCCAGGCAATATGTGCAAAATTGTCTGGGGTGGACCACATTTAGAAATCTATAAATAGGCACTAGGTCTTTACGACAATAAAATGTGCTTTTTTGCATCCAAAACCATAGGTGTGTGTCTAATGCTTGTAATTTCACAGATTTTTTCAAGTTGCTCTTTATGGCAGTACTTTGATTTAAAATTAAAATTTCATTTTACTAGAATTTAGAACTTTATGTTCATATCAGCCAATCAAACAGGCCATTAGAATTATTCAAGCCAATCAGATTCTAGGTTTCGTAATCACTTATTCCTAGCGTTTGTCTGGTAGAGGAGGTGCACTTGGTTCCAGTCTACTCGTGTCATCAGCATTGTACGGAGGTGGTGGTCCATACCCTTGGGGGGCACCGGCATAACTGAACCCGCTTGTGGGAGGCTGTGCATAGACTCCTTGTGCATGGACTCCTTGTGTGTGGGCTCCTTGTGTGTGGGCTCCTTGTCCATAGGCTCCTTGTCCATAGTTTTGAGGGTAGCCAGCCTGATACGCCCCTTGGGGCTGGGAATAATGACTGGGTGCTTGAACCCGTATTATTCTTCTTTGGAAGAAGAAAAGAAGCTTGTACGTAATGTTTCCCAGTCCTACATTTGTCACTTCAGGTGTTTCTAACATACAAGCTAGTTCCCAGCCTCTTTTACCCATCTCTGTAATCATTGGTGCCCAGTCTCCCTTAGCTTTCGTTTGGAAAAATCCAATCTGCAACATAAAAAAGTCTTGTCAATAAAATGTGGTTATAACAAAGAAAAAGATCCTGTTAGGGAGAAATAATTAGAGGGGGTGGGGGTAGCCATGTCACTGGAACTAGATTTATGTTGCAATCTATTAGCCTCATACAGTGTACATTATCTGAGCAGAATACATCATATAAAGTTAATCAGTTTTCTTAGATCTCAATTGAAGAAATAGAAAACGTGCGCACGTGCTGTGTGCAGTCATAAAGCACGCGGGGGTTGACAGAACACAAGAGAAGTGTTAGGAGAAGCATGACATGTAGCGTAGTGCTTCTGGACACTTCTCGAGTGTTCTGCCAATCCCCAAGTGCTTTATAACGGCACACAGCACAGCAAGCAAGTTTTTTATTTCTTCAATAAAATACATCTGGTCTGGCTGAATGCATCTAAGGATGGTACTCTTGAAGTATATCATTGTCTGGTGTACTCTCATTGACCATTAGTGGGACCATTGTGAAAGTGAAATTAATATATATATAACCATTGCTGTCAAAAATAATAACATAGAAGTCTGGTGCACTACCCCTTTTCCTTCCCCAGTACTCGTTTGTCTTACCTTGACTGTATGCTTGTATTCAATGATGGTTCCTTCATATACTGGAGTCGGATCATTTAGTCGCAATGCTTCTTTCTCAAAGAACCAAATAGAATTATGGTCTCCACCGAAAGTAAAATCTGAAGAAAGGTTGCACAAGTTACTTCTTTTTATCATAGCAACTTTAGGCTTTTCATGTATTTTACAAACAAGGTGCATTCTGTTCTAGCTTGGGTACTAACACCTCCAAGGTGTGATAAACATAATTAAAGATGCTTGTACCAAACTAGCTAGACTAGAATACATCTCAATTCATTAATGAATCAGAAAGGACATAAAGGGCCCAATATTCCCCAGAATACATTGCCCTTTCATAGTCAAAGATAAGCCTTCAAATTTTATCAAACCCTGAAACAAACTTAGTGGGTCCTCAGTAGGACCTAAGTGGGCTAATTACAGTACATCTAATTCACAGCTTGAACTAGAATTTTGTATGTTATTGTTTTGTGGAGGGAGGAAAACTGAAGAATCTGGAAAAAACCTTCAAGTCAAGGGAGAGATCTAACAAACTCAAACACATGTGATGATGAGTCCAGAAAACAAACCCAAAGACCCCAGAGGTRAGAGGTGGGTATAATACCACTATGCCTGCCATCCCTTTGCAAGCTGCAAATATAAGAGATTAAATTGGTTTCTCAATTCATTACTGGTACACTGTAATCTAACGTGGGGTCTCTATGGTAACATGTCAATCAGATACAGATGTACCTCCATGACTCTTCCTTCCTTGGTCCCAAAAGATTTCTGCAAGCCTCCAGCCCTGCTGTAAAGGCCCAACGAAATGCTTCATCCAGTCACATGTGACTTTAACTAGCTTTCCTGGTCCAAACATCATGATTTGGACAGGTACGTTGATGAGCTGGTATGTGTACCTTGTGGGATTAGGATGGGAGGGAACATTGAAGAATACATCACATCCATACACTATTGAAGAAGAATGGATAAATAGAATTAGAATGGGTGGGAATATTGGAGAATACATCACATCCATACACTATTGAAAAAGAATGGATAGATAGAATTAGGATGGGTGGGAATATTGAAGAATACATCACATCCATACATTATTGAAAAAGAATGGATAAATAGAATTAGGATGGGTGGGAATGTTGAAGAATACATCACATCCATACAATATTGAAAAAGAATGGATAAATAGAATTAGGATGGGTGGGAATGTTGAAGAATACATCACATCCATACACTATTGAAAAGGAACGAAACAAAACCTGAAACCACAAATAATGTCTGGGCTAATCTAAGTCAGTGCATGGCTAACTCAGAGATTGAACCATGGAACA